AAGGAGAATCTTGGGTCCCAAAAGCACCCAGAGATAACAACTGTAATGGGGGTGAAGAAAGCACTGAGAAAGAATAGATGAACAAGTAAGGAAAGAAAGGGAAGAGGAAAGAAACCTTGCTCTCCGTGCCACATGCTGCAGACCCGGAAAGAAGCACGGTAGTGGAGAGATGATAAGGAGATAAGTTGGAAACAAGTAGGAAGGCAAGTAGGGTAACATGTGGTAGTAACCGAGGGTAAGGGAATGTAACGGATAATAGGTTTCGTCCCAAAGCACACAGAGACAAGCACAGCAATTGAGAGACAAGCAAGGAGACTTATACGAAGGAAGACAAGTAGGGAGAAACATTCTTCCCAAAGCAGCCGGAGAGAAGAATAGCAACGGGGAGGGAATTAAGGATACAACTTGGAGAGAACAAGGGAGACAAGTATACGACTTGGAGATTTCAAGGAAGACACGTACGGAAACAGATGGCAGACGAGAAGAATCAGGGGTCCCAACAAGCACCTAGAAAGAAGAACAGCAAGAGAGAGAGAGAGAGAGAGAAAAAAAGAAAGAAAAAAAGAAAGAATGAAAGAAAAAAAGAAAGACAGAAAGAAAGAAGGGCACGAAATGGAGACAACAAGGACGACAAGTACGGAAACAGACAAGGGACAAGGAGCATCCTGTGCGCCGGAAGCACCCAGAGAGAACAACAGCAATGAAGAGAGAAGTGTCAAAACAAGTTGGGAACAAGCAGAGAGACGGGCGCGGAAACAGATGGGACACAAGGAGAGTCCTGTACCCAAAGCAACCAAACGAAGAACACTGAGCGCGGGGGGGGAGTAGTAGAACAAACAAGGAGACAAGCAGCTAAGCATGGAAACAAATGACAGACAAGAAGAATGCGCTGCCATCAAGCACCCAGAGAAAGAGAACTCAGGCAGGGAGTAGGAGCCAAAAAGGGAGACAAGCACGGAAACAGGTGGAAAACAAGGAGAACTTTGCGTCCCAAACGTACCCAGAGAAAAGAATAGCAATAGATAGAGAAGTACGGAAACAAGTTTGAGACAACAAGGGGAACGAACACGGAAACAAATGGGAGACGAAGAGACGAAGAGTATCCTGTGCCCAGGAGCATCCAGGAAGAAGAACAGTAACAGGGATGGACAAAAGGAATGGAGAGAGGAGGACTGCAACACAAATGAAGGACTCGGGAATGTTTATTGCCCCAAAGCACCTAGAGGTCCTAAAGCCTAGACACACGTGGGAGACAAGGAGAATCTTGGGTCCCAAAAGCACCTAAAGAGAACAACGGTAGTGAGGAGAGAAGTGAAGAAGGCAATGGGAAAGACTAGAGCAACAAGTAATGAAAGAAAGGAAAGAGGATAAAAGCTCTCTTCTCCGTCCCAAATGCTGGAGACCTGGAAAGAAGCACGGTAGTGGAGAGATGATAAGGAGACAAGTTGGGGACTAGTAGAAAGGCAAGTAGGGTAACATATGGTAGGGACCCAGGGTAAGGGAATGTAACGGAGTAACGGATAATGGGTTTCGTATGGTTTCGTCCCAAATCACAGACTTCCACAAAGGAAGGCAAGTAGGGAGAAACAAAGACCAGGAAATCCATTCTTCCCAAAGCAGCCTGGTAGAAGAATGGCAATGGGAAGGGAATGAAGGATACAACTTGGAGAGAACAAGGGGAACAAACACGGACACAAATGGGAGACGAGAAGAATCAGGAGTCCAGGGTCCAAAAGCACCCAGAGAGAACAACAGTAATTAATGAGGAGAGAAGCGAAGAAAGCATTGGGAAAAACTAGAGGAACAAGTAAGGAAAGAAAGGAAAGAGGAGAAACACTCTCCTCTCCGTCCCAAAATGCTGGTGACCCGGATGATGGACTCGGTAATGTTTATGGCCCCAAAGCACTTGAAGGTTCTAAAGCCTAGACAGAAACAGCAACGGAGAGAGTAGAATGAGTAGGAAAGTAAATTGAAGAAAGAAAAGGGAGAAAAAATTAGCTGAATAAGGACACAAATTGGAACACATGGGAGGCAAGGAGAATCTTGGGTCCCAAAAGCACCCAGAGATAACAACTGTAATGAGGGTGAAGAAAGCACTGGGGAAGAATAGATGAACAAGTAAGGAAAGAAAAGGAAGAGGAAGGAAAAGAGCTACAACCACTGGATAAGATCAGAAAGGAGGACGGTCGCATTATACCAAAAGGTCCCTGCCACATATATATATATATATGTATATATATATATATAGTACGAATGGACCAGTTCTTAGATAAGCTCACATTGGCAATTTCCTTTCCAGCTCAACTGGATGTTTTTGGAGTGTATTTGAGATTATTTGAGTCATTTTCAGTGTTTGCCCGTTACTCTCCAGGCAAGCATCAGCCCCAGACAGCTATTGTTATGCAAAATGAACCAAAATGATATGTGTTCACATTGTGCATGAACATGATGATAACATCACTAAGACTAAGATACCTAGACTCCTAGACCCTCCAAATACACCCCAAAAATTGGTAAAAGTACCAGCTTATCGGGTAAAACACCATTTTGATGGCTACAAACGGACGGTCAAACGGTGCGAAGCCAAGGTGACATTGACAAGATCCGCACGGTTGGGAAGTGCCGCGGTTACCGTCCGGGGGTTACGACAGCTAAGTCGACCATATGACATAACTCTTGGGTCATTTTTGGGTTGAATAAAGTTTTAATGTAACTATACTATCTGGTTGGTGGTTTGGAACAGCCGTGTCGACCCAAGCTTACCAGTAGTGCGGCCGTCCTGAACTGAACGTGGGTCAGGTTTGTTTCACATGTCTCTAGCCATGTCGTGCTTTCCCATGGACTTTGCCTGCTTTTCTGATGGGGAACGTGTTGACCTGGTATGCTCAATGAAGGTTTTTGACTACGCCCATTCAGCCCATCTGATGAAACTTTCCAGCGGATGTATGTTTCACTTAGATGGCTTGATTGATGATGGTTTTGAAGCCTACACTTTGTTTGGTGCTTTGATGGGGAACCAATTTCCTATCCCAATGGTGAGGTTGGATGACAAGTCAAAGGTTCTCACCCACACAAAGCCATCATGGAACTCCTTGCACAGCCTAATTGACATTTGTGCCGGTTTCGGTGGATTAGCACAGGGCGCTATCGCATCCGGAATGCATGTGGCAGTGGCAATGGACCATAACCAAGCCATGCTGGATCTGTATAGCAAGGTGAGTGATGTCCCCAAAGTTTGCGGTGACTTTGGACAAAAGGATGTGTTGTTTTCCATCTGGCAACATGCCAAAGGTGCCAAGGTGATGTCCTCAGGATTCAGCTGCCAGCCCTATTCCAGACTGGGAGACGGTAGAAGCAGTGGGGATGTCCGGTCCAATTGCATCACCAAAACATTGTCCGCTGCATATTTCCTCCAGGTTAAAGCTTTAATTTTGGAATGTGTTTCACCCGCAGGGCATGACCAATTTGTAAAGGCTGAACTGGAAAGATTTATGAAGGGTACTGGTTTCACATGCTCCATGATTGACATGCGCCTGGACTCCATCTGGCCATGCAGACGCCAGAGAGCATGGTGGTTGTTGCTTGCACCTGAGTTTGGCAACGTGGAACTGAAGACATGGGATCCGCTCCTGAATGTTCCCCAAGTCCAACATGTGATTCCTAGAATCTTACCGTGGGCTCAGGAAGATGAAGATGACCTGCAACTTGATGCCACCGAACTTAGTGCGTTTGGGGTGAATAGTAATGAGCATGGGAAATACCTCCTCAATGGGAAGGGTCACTCACCATGTGCATTGCATGCCTGGGGTAATCAACTTCGTGCATGCCCGTGTGGATGCCGTGCCTTCCCATTATCCTCTGCCAGATTGGAAAGCCGGGGGTTGCATGGATGTTTAGTCAGAAGTGCCAGCACCCAGAACAGTGAGACTCACATCAGGCATGTACATCCAAATGAGGCTATGGCACTCAATACCATGGACCCAATTTTGGACTTTGGATGCAATGCTAGACTCACTTTGTCTGCCGTAGGCCAATTAGCTGCCCCTGCACAGTCACTGTGGATCTTCAGCCATTTCAAGGGACACATTGAGAAGTTGTTGACTGGTTTCACCAAACATACTCCATCTGCACAGGTTCAAGCATACCGTTCATGGCTGCTTATGAGGTGTAGGAATGTTTGGCCAGTTGATGAAGAGCTCATTTCCGACCAAAACCTTCTTTCCATGATGCGATTTTGGCATGAATATAAAGGTCTGAGCCTGGAAGAACTTGTGTTTTCTGCCAAGTGGCAAGATGTGACCCGAGAACCAATTAGCATTGCGGCAGTCCTTGACCATGTGATAATGTCTCACCAAACAAGGGTACCACCGACTCTGCCAGAAGCAAATGAGGATGTTTCCCCTACACCTTGGCATGATTCTCCCTGTATTGTTGATGACATTACCACGATTGGTTGCCTCTATGCGGATTCCTGCACAGTGGTTTTTGAGGGTTCAGCTGATTCACCAATCAGGTTTCAACCCAAGTGCTGCTCCACGGTTGGAAATTTCTTGACTGCGCAGGGCAAGCTGGTTGGGGAATTACAGGTCGAAAAGATCACTTTGAATGGACGGGAAATCCTTCCAGACCATGTTATGGAAGTGGGACAGGTCATCGTTGTCAAATTGTCTTCACATGCTGCAACAGTTGACTCACAAGGGCAAGAGGAGCAAACCTGTGTAGCTCCGGTCTCACCCACGATTGATTGGGTTGCTGATCCTGACCCAATTGAGGATTGCACTGTGAAATCACCTCCCAGAAAGATTTCCAAATATGATATTGGAGAATGTCTCATCCCCTCTGTAGGGTCTGTCTCTGAGGATGTTTGGCTTGATGCGACCCCTTTGTTAGGACTCCATGGTGACCAGTTCTTGAAGTTGCACTCGCCAACCATTAACACACCCCAACAGCTGTGGTCTGTCAGGCATCAGTTTCTTCGAGCCGAAGACCGCCTTGCGGTCATGGCCCAGCAGGAAGCATTTTGGGCAGACGATGAGATCCGCCTCCATATGCATGCACAAGTGAGACTCCACCGTGAAAGCAGCCTGAAGAAGGGGTTTAAGCCCGCTGATGTGCAGGTGCTTGACCCCTTACTAAGCACCACATGGCTCCAACAAAAAGGCTTCCCGTGTGAACTTTGGGCTAAAGATCACCCTGAAATACGCAGCCAATCATGTCCGCTTGTGACTGTGGTTTTGGTTGAACAACATTGGATCCCGGTGTTTTGCTCTCCCACTGCTGATGTCTTGCACATCCACACATGGGATGGTAGAGGTGCCCAACACACCCAACTGAATGCCTTCTTGCATAAACTGGCTGAGGCGTTGGGTTTCCGTGAGGCACTCATTTGCAGGGAACAGAGGATCTTTTACACCACTGACCTTTGTGGGGCCCTTTCAATTGCCTTTTTACGGTCCATGTTGATTGGAACCCAACTGCCCACCAATGCAGATGAGGCAGCACAGATCCATTGCCTCCTGCGGCAGCAGTTTCACGCCATCATTCAGCAGTGCCAAGTGACCGACAGACCCTGGATCTGGGGTGCAGGGGACACTGGCCATGTAGCCTTGACTCCAGCGACGTTTGATGCCATCTCCATTGATCGCGAAGCTCGCATTGATTTGATCAACCAAAATGGCACCATGATGGCAGATGACGAAATCAGGTTTCACATCCGGCAGCTGGTGCAACACCAGCCTTCACGCCCGGGTCTTCTCGGATCATTTGTTTTCCTTGAGCCACTGGTCTTCATGTGTTGGGACACAATTGGGCATGTGATTGCTGAGACTTGGTGTGAGCAAAATCTTCAAGTATTTTCTCATAGCCAGCATGTTGTAACTGCTGTTGCGGTTGAAAACCATTGGCTTCCACTGTGGTTTGTTCCGGATGGACATGATCTGCAAATTCATACGTTCAATGACCCCCAGGTATCAGACCAGAAACTTGCGGGGATCCTTCAAGCCATCGCAACACGATTGGGTTTTCGTAGCATTGCTCTGCATCGTATCCCCAAGCACATTAAGGATGACACCAAATGTGGAGCGTATGCCATGGCCTTCTTGGCCCATGTTATCACCAGGATGCCGCTGCCCACTGAGGCACATGAACTTCAGACCCTACACACCAACATGAGGGCATCATTTGTGGCCCATCTGTATTCCATTGACAGAACCCCACGGCCTGTGGTTTGGGGCAATGGCCCCACAGGGGAATCCGGGCTACTCCCTATAATGCCCGATGGTGACAGCGACCAAGACAGTAGCAACCCAGTTTGTTGCTTCCAAGGGGATTATAGCCCACAATGCAATGAATGGCCCATTGTCTCTGCCTTCTGCACTTGTTTGCTCCCCGCTAGGGACCCTGATGATGAAGCCAGGCAACGCCGGGTTAATGCCATTGCTCCACGAGGGCATGCCATGGGTGATGATGAGATCATGTTTCACCTTGACCACCTGTTGCGGCTGTATCACCTCCAGCCTAGGCGTAGTACTGATGTGATCAGGCACTTTGTTGCAATCCCTCCGCTTACAGTTGCGCACTGGCTGGCTGGCAACAACTTTGAAATGGATCGTTGGATTGCCCAAAACCCACAAGTCCAGCATGGTTGTCATATTTTGATGGTTGCATGCGTAGAACAGCATTGGGTCCCGTTCTGGTTGATTCCAAGAGATTCACAGCTGCATTGCCATTCCTTTCATCATGCAAGGGTTGACACGACAAACATTGACCAAGCCATTCGGACTTTGTCACAGAAGTTGGGGTTTCATGACTGCATGCTTCACCGGGTTCCCAACCCAGTGCATGACTCAGGTTTGTGTGGTGCAATGGCAATCAGTTTTCTGGCCCACATTGTGCTGAGAACTCCTATCCCTGCGGATGACCAAGCCTTGCGTGACCGTAGCTGGCAGATGAAGAACAAATTCGCCAACACAGTACACCAAAGGCCTCCTACATTTCCCGTTTTGTGGGGATGGGGCCTGCCAGGGGAATGCAGGCCACTCCCTAAATTGCCTGCCACTGATGGGATTGATACCAATGGAACGGTGTTCCGCAATGGGCTAGCAATGGGGCATGATGAAATGGAGTTTCACCTTGGTTTGCTTTGCCGCCAATGTATCAGCATGCCCAGTTGCCGTGTGAGCCTCACTGCCCAGGAAAGACATGATCATCTGAACACCTTCAATGGTTCCAGCTGTTCCATGTTGATTGATGCCACACTGCAAGACCATCACTGGTCGCCAATCATTGCCACGAAGCGTGATTCTCTTCTGGTTTTAGTATGCGAAGCGGGTGCAGTGGATCGTGCGATGCTCCATTGGGATAGTGTGGTAATTTTGCTGATCCCAAGCCATGCAGGTAACTTCTGTGGTGCACACACCCTTGCCATGCTTGCACTAGGGCTCGGCCTTTGTGTCCCTGAGGGCGATCATGAAGGGCTCCATTGGCGTTTGAGGCAAGAATTTTGCTCCTTCGGACAGCCCGCTGAACGGATTCATTGGGGTTTTGGCCCCGCAGGCCAGCTGCTCCGTAACCTGACCACGGAACTTTTGAAGCATGGAGTCCCGGAAGTAGTTGCGGAATCACGAGCCAATGACGCCATCCGGGTTATAGGTAGTGAGCAGCTCATCACCGCACTGAACCATCGACAGGTGTGGAAGCAACTGAAGATGTTGGGTAACAATTCGAAGTTTCAGTTCATCATGCCCAGTGAACTTGAACATGCTGTTTCCACTAACAAGAGCAAGATAGTTGGGGGAAAGGGGAAAGGCAAGTCCAAGGGCTCCGTGAAAGGCAAGCAGCCCCCTGTTGACCTTGACCCTCACAAGTTGCAGATTGTTGATGGAATTTTCCGTTGTCACACCCATGCTGTTTCACAAATCAAGGCCACACAAATTGGCCCCTTAAGCAGTGGGGTTGTCTTAATGACTCAACAGGAAGCTGAACCTTACCTTCGTGCTGGGAAGATTGTTTCACAGGAACCACTGGCCATTGCAGTTCTGCATAAATCTGGTAGCGATATCTCCACCACGTTGCCACATGCTGACATCACCATTCCTTGCAGGTGTACCGTTGACAGTGAGCCAATTTTGGCGGATGCAGTTTTGGTCCAGATCGGCCAGGGTTTGATTGAGAAATCAGTAGGGCCTGCAATTGTCCAACTTGATGCCCTTGATGTGGTGACACTTAAAATCTTGGTGTACAAAGATGAAATTCAGATGGATTGGAATGATTTCACCCAGGCCCCTATCAAGTGGTTGGTGTCTTTGCTCCCTGCATTGAAACGATGCCATGCCCAGTCTTGTTCCTGTCCTGCCTGGCACAACCCTGAGCAACTTGCGATCAAAGACCCGATCCTTGATGTTTGGAGAAGGCAATTTCTGCGGCATGGATTCAAGCCGTGCCCACCGGCCCAAGCTGACATGTTTTCCGTTTGTATCCGAATCCCACAGTGTTTGCTGGAGGCCCAGCTCTCTGCCAGTGGCCACCATGGTGCTTACGGGGAACCCAGAACACCGGACGGCAAAGAAATCTTGCAAGATTTCACCGTGATTTGGACACCCAAACTCACACTGCAGGACACTCAGCATCTGATGAGTACGAATCCAGCAGTCATAGGACTGGCTAGATTAGGAGACAGGCGAGGGTTGAGAGTCAAGACTGCCCATGCCAAAGCTGTCCACCAGCAGGTACGTCCCGAATCAGTGTTTCTACCCCAGGGTCCCAGATGCCTGTTCACAGTAGGTCCCATGCCTTATGGCGTTGACCGCCAAGCGGTTGGGAAAATGCTTAGCAGTGCTGGCTGGGAATGTAGGCCACTTCAGCCAACCATGCCTTGCCCGGGGAGGGGTGTCATGTGGTCAGTCCAGTCAACGGAGGACCCAGTTAACACCATTATTCACACATCTCATGGAGAAATTGTAGTCACCAAACAGAAGCAGGAGAATGCTAACTTGGCCGCCCGCCAGGTTACGGTAGGATCAGCTTCAACCATTGCCTTGTGTGAGAAGTCCAATGCTGCTGGGGAACCTGACCCTTGGTCCAAACAAGACCCTTGGGGAGGATACAAACCTGCTGCACCGGCACCTGTTTCCACTAGCCCCAGTGAAGGGGTACAGCAAATGGAAGATCGCATTCAAACAGCGGTCTTGGCGAAGCTGCAAACACCGATGGAACAGGATGATCTCCCAGATCGGGTTCATGCATTAGAAGGACAAGTCCAGCACCTGTTGTCCAAGCAGCAGGGTTTTGAAACACAGCTGCACGAGTTCAGTGGACATCATACACAGCAGCTCACGGCGTTGCAGGGACAAGTCAATGCCCAATCCCAGCAGCTCCATGGACATTTGGAAAGCCAAAATCAAACGATCCAATCGCTCTTTGAGCAACAGATGACACAGATCAGGACATTGCTGGCCAAGCGGCCGCGCGAAGATGGTACCGAATGACGGTTTGGCCAGGGCACCATTGGCATGATGTTAGGTATGTTAGTTGGGGTCGCTGCCTGGCCTCTGCCTTGGACCCATGGCCTCCTTGCCACAATTTTGGTTTTGTTTACTCTTAGTGTGGGGGCTGTGTGCCTCATACCTGCGCCCAGGAGTGTGATCAGACGAGCCAGTTGGGCCAATTTGGTTTTGTTGTTAATGATGTGTAGAATTGGGGAAGCAACAAACCCAGGCCCTGCCCATGCTCACTCAAGTTTTGCCTTGGGAGCCTTCAATCCATCCGGTTTGAACGGTAAAGCCCCCTATATTGTTTCACATCTCACCCATGGGGATATATGGGCGGTATCAGAAACTCACCTTTGCACACGGAGTTTACAGATGTTTCGCACGGGCCTGCATTTTGCTGAGAGCCCCTACAAATATTGTGTGGGAGGGCACCCAGTCCCATCCCAAAGCAATCGCATGTTTCACTCAGCTTGGCGAGGAGTGGCGGTGTTATCCAAGTTCCCGACTCGTCCACTGCCTGTTCAATGGCCGGACGGCATTTATGAGTCTTCTAGGATTCAGATCACTGCCACATTGGTTCATGACTCCTGGCTCACAGGTGCCACAATTTATGGTGAACCTGAAAGTTCCACATACCCATTCCAGAAGCAAAACAATGAGCAACTTTTACAGTGTGCTGTCAATCATGTTTGCCACCTGAGCAGAGGACCCCGATTTGTAGCCGGAGATTGGAATGTCTCTGCAAACTCGCTGCCTGCATTCGAAGCTTTGGAAGCTGCGGGCTTCCGTGAACTGCAAGATATTGCCCTCCAACAATGGGGTCAACAAATCGTGCACACCTGTAAGGCTTCTACCAGGAAGGATTATTGCTACATCTCCCGTGAGTTGCAAGGATTGCTGCAAAGTGTTCATGTAGAGAACGACATCTTTGCTGACCATGCCGTGATTTGGGGAGTCTTCAACAGCATGACGCAAGTTCTGCCTCGCCAGGTTTGGACAACACCGAAACAACTCCCTTGGCCTGGTTCATGGAATGTTGATCCTACATTTTGGGCCAGCGAGTCAGGTAGCTGTGATCATAGGTATGCTGCACTGTGGGAACACATCGAGTCCAGTGCCTGTGATGCCATCCCTTTTCCTGTTCCCAGGACAGCCTTGGGCCGAGCCAAAACTACCCAGACCAAGCCTGTGTATGAGGGAAAGTTGCCACCACCCAAGAAAGCCCGTGCGGGGGACCTACAACCGCACTATGTTGCTGCCTCCTTCCGGCATGCGCAATGGCTTCGCCAAACGAGAAGGCTCCAGTGTTACGTGCGTTTTGCACGTAGTGGTGACATCGGCTCTGAACATGCCCGTGCATTGTGGGGCTCTATTGTGCGGGCTAAGGGCTTTCACACAGCATTTTCTGAATGGTGGGCTTCATGCCAATGGAGAACTCTAGGAGCTCCTCCCTTGTTACCTTTTGTGCCTCCAGCTTGTCATGTGGCCGAGCAGGTTTTTGACACAGTTGTGCTTGCCTTCCGGGAATTTGAGCAACAACTCCACAGGTCATCCCGCTTGTATGCAAGGCAGAGAAGGTCTCAGAATCCCAACATGATCTTTCGTGACATTCAGGACCAAAGGGGTGCAGGGGTAGAAGTTCTCACACGTGTTACTACCGCTGAAATTGTTGAAGTGCAACCGGCTGAGGCTTCCATAGTTCTTGCTGAACCCACCAATTTTGATGCCACCAAGCCAATTTTGTGCCAAGGGTTGGCTTTGCCGGTGATTCACCATGAGGCTGATTGCGTTTGGCTAGAACATCTCGATGGACTTTTGCCTGGAATGCATGTTTCACAAACCTCACATTTGGGCACGGATGATGAACTTTTCGAAGCCTTTTGTGACGCCTGGAGACACATGTGGGACCGACACAAAGATGTTTCTCATGAACGCTGGACCGCCATACTTGGTTTTGCTAGGCAACATGTCCCCAGGCTTTGCATTGACTGGGCGCCCATGAACCCCCTGAGTTTGGAACATGCCATTGCCCGCAAAAAGAGCACGACCACTGCTGGTCTGGATGGTGTCACCCTGAACGATCTCAAACACATGCCCCATGCGGCACTGAGCAATTTCACGGATCTCTTCCGACATGCGGAAGAAACAGGGGAATGGCCCACACAAATGCTTGCGGGTCGGGTAACTTGCCTTGCCAAAACTGAGGCCCCTCAGAGTGCCTTGGATTTTCGCCCTATAACTGTTCTGGGTCTCCTATTCCGTTGCTGGGGTACATATAATGCCAAGAAAGCCATCCGGCACATTGAACCAGCTTTGCCTGAAGGACTCTTTGGTTCTAGGCCAGGTAAATACGCAGGGCAGGTTTGGTCCCATTTGCTCTGGGCCATTGAAAAGGCCTATAGTGAGGACATGCCTTTGAGTGGAATTGTGGCAGACATACGCAAAGCTTTTAATTACCTTGCCAGGCCAGTGGTTTTTGAAGCATGTGCACTGTTGGGAGTACCATTCCGCATTTTGAAAGCATGGGCAGGCGCCCTAGCCGCCTTGCCACGCCGATTTCAGATCAATGGTAACATTGGACCAGCGGTCTTGAGCTCTTGTGGCTTGCCTGAAGGCTGTGCCTTGTCCTGCTTAGGCATGATTGCAGTCGACGTTTTGTTTCATGCTTGGATGCGGTTTCACTTCCCCTTATGCCAACCCTTGTCCTACGTGGACGACTGGCAGATCTTGGTTGCCTCCCCTGATTTCATCCAGCCTGTGTTTCAGTGTCTTGAATCATTTGTGGATGCCATGGACTTATTCCTTGATGACCGGAAGACCAAGACTTGGTCGGTTTCTAGCCTTGGGCGCCATTTGATCCGTGATCAAGGGTTTGGTCTCCTTGCTTTTGGCCGGAACTTGGGTGCTCATGTCCAATACACGAAACAACACACAAATAAGGTCCTCATGGACAGAGCCATGTCACTTGCCACGCTGTGGAATAAACTGCGGTTGTCCTCCTGTAGTTATGCCCTTAAAGTCAGGGCGTTGACCTGCGCTGCATGGCCACGGGGCCTTCACGGTGTAGAGGCTACGACCTTAAGTTTGACTGCCTTCCATCAGCTTCGAACAGGTGCCATGAAAGGTCTTCGTATTGATTGTTCAGGGGCAAATGCACATGTCCAGTTAGGCCTTGTTGAACCAGCTCCAGTTGATCCTCACTGTTGGGCAATCATGCAAACCATCCGACTCCACCGTAACTGCGGGAACCAGAGTGTCATTGAAGAGTTGTTGGCTTCCTTGGCTGCAGGGGAGATGTCTTTACCGGCCAATACGGTAACCAACACCTTACTGACACGATTGCACATGGTTGGCTGGCATGTGACTGACAAAGGATTGCTTTGTGATGTTTTTGGGCACTTCTCTCTTTTTGAGGTGTCCATTACAGAGGTTCAATACCGCCTGACTTATCAGTGGACCCAAGTTGTGGCATCGGTAGTTGCTCACCGACCATGTTTTCAAGGTTTGGAAGCCTCGGATCCATTCTCCACACGCCAGTGGATGCGCTCTTTGCCATTGTCAGATAGAGCCCTGTTTCACAAGGTGCTTAATGGAACACATATCACGCAGGATGGTAAAAAGTATTGTCAAGAAACCGAGACTGATTTGCGCCCCTACTGCGATTGCAGTGATAGTAGGTACCACAGGTTTTGGGAATGTGAACACTTTGCACACCTGCGTGAGCACCTCTCGCATGCCGAGCGCCAGATCCTGGTTGACCTACCTGAGGTTCATACATGTTGTGGCTGGGCTTTGCAACCATCCACCGCAGTGGAATGGAACTCCTACTTTGCAGGTCTCACTGTGCCAGAGGCCGACTGCATTAGTAGAAAGGGTCTGTTACATGTCTTCACAGATGGAAGCTGTCATGACCAACAAAATCAGCTTGGACGTTTTGCGGGATGGGCAGTTGTTTTGGCCTCGACAGAAAGTGTGCATGATTTCACAGGCGCTGAAGTTTTGGATCGGGGACCTCTGCCTGGCCTTCTTCAAAGTGCTGGGCGAGCAGAGGTATTTGCAGTGTTACGTACCCTGCAGATAGTGCGCAATCATGAGGGTTCAGTGATGCTTTGGTCTGACTGTGACGCTGTCGTTAAGAGATTTCGCAAGGTCTTGGCAGGTCATGCAGTTTCACCTAATAGCACCCACTCTGATTTGTGGACTCAGATTGCAGAATGCCTACAAACCAGATCGTACACTGTAGGAATTACTAAGGTTGCCGCTCATCAAGATGTTGCCACTGCCAGTACTGCACTGGAAGAATGGTGTTTTCGATATAACCACCTGGTGGACAAGCATGCCGTGCAGGCCAATTATGCCCGCCCCGAGGAATTCTGGGAACTATGGGAGCGCCATAAGACTGCCTTGGCCTTTTCGTCTCACTACAACCACCTTATAAGGCATGTGTTGTTGAAAATTAGTCAGGCGGTTGTGCGGGGTGAACAACCGGTTCAAGTCCATCTTGAGCCAGTCGAATGCGCCCTGCCGTTGCCAGCTACCTGCTGGCAGGAACTCCCAGCTCTGACGATTCCTGCAGGCGCAGTACGCTGGTATGGTGATAAAATGGTCCGGCTCCTGCTCAGTTGGCTGTGGCAAAGCGTTTGGGGCGTTTCACATCCTTTACGTTGGGTTTCACATTTTCAGCTTTACATTGATTTCATGTGCAGCACCGGCCACCCTGGCCCGGTGCATGTGAAGCGCTGGCGCGATGGAGCTGATGTGCAGAACCTCAGCCTGCAGGGATATAGCTTTAGGCAGCGAACCCGCTGGTTTACAAAGATGTTGAAAGAGTCCCTCAAGCACATGGGAGTTTCACTGCACATGGGGTATGGCAGACCATACTCGCAAGCCATCATGATGCATACGGGGGTTTTGGCGGTCCCGTGGGACCCGCAGAGAATCTACATGGTGGACAAGTGGATGATGGCCGTGGCTAATCAGACCTTTAAGCGACAGTCTGCTGCGATCGATGCTTTGCCGTATGCTCCGCGAAGGTCCGACTTCCCAGAGGTCTTTGTTTCCACCATAGGTCCGTGACCACCCCAAAGCCGGGCAACGTCTCACATAACGTTGCGCGCATCGCAAAGTGTGACAAAGTGTGGTGGTTTGGAACATTTTTTTAATGTTCCCCAATAGTTGGGATGATGATCCAATCTGACTAATATTTTTCGGGGGGTGTTGAAACCACCAATTAGCTATTCATTGTTTTTTGTTTCTAAACCAACGTTCACATCACTGTTAAGCCTTGCATAGATTTGGATCAGTGAGCTTCCCGTGTGGAACCATTAGAACTAAAGCAATTAAATCCCATAGCATTCCCATTGTCTGTATAGTTGTTTGTTCGTTTGTCCTAATTAATTATATCTTAGTATTATACATCATAACCATTTGTAACCCAATTTTTGTCAATGCATGATAACTTCTGCACAGACTTGTAAACACAACAATCACGGCTCTGCAGCATTAAGCTCAAGACAGCACTGGCTGGCACCATGGTTAATGGGTAGTAATGGTCAGTCGTCTAAAGTGCAGAACAGTGTGTATATATATATACACATTACTATATGAATGACTGTATTATTGACTACAATAACGACTTGAAATATCAGAATTTCATATCCGTCAACATTTCTTGTATGTCAGAGAGCCTTGTTTCGCAAGTTTTCGCTGCCTTTCTCCAACTACTGAAAGCAAGCATCGGTCTTTCAATGTGTCGAATCATATTGCAACAGAGCCGCATCGACAGACCGGCAGCACGTTGCACCGTTCTACCTTGAACAGTCTACAAACAACAGACTCAACCGTACCTTGTCACCTCCTACCAGTAGACCTTCATGAATTTGGTTTCTTCCAGCTTCATGCAGCGCCATGAAACCTAGCTGCAAGGTACCATGTGAACATGGAAGAACAGTTACCTTATTGTAGCTCCAGAATTGTCTCCGAAAAGCAAGTTCGGCGCCATGGGGGCCAGTTGCAAGGCCCAAGATGACTGACATTTTCCAGCCGCGGCAAGCCGAGACTGTGGACATCTGTGGCCCATGTCCCGTAACTAAGATTGTCTGGTTGGTGGTGACTGGAACCATGGAATTTTATGACTTTCCCATCATATTGGGAAGTTCATAACCGCAACTGACGAACTCACAACCCCTCATTTTTCAGAGGGGTAGGCAAAAAACCACCAACCAGATTATTAATTAACCATCATTAACCATATAATAATAACCATCATCATTAACCATATACCTACCATTTGCCGCAGCGATTTCTGAATGACGCTGAAAACCGCAGCGATTTCCCCAGTTCCATTGTGAAGCCACCGCCAGCGTAGGTGCTAAAGGACCAAGCTGTGTGTGGCCTTCCCAGCGCCTCCAAGGAGATCGATCCAGCGGTGTCACCAACTTGGTGTCCTCAATTTACCCTCTGGTAAACATACAAAAAACTATGGAAAGATCCACCATTTTTAATGGGAAAATCCACTATAAATCACCATTTTCAATAGCTATGTAACAAATTACCAGAGGGTGGTGATGGTTTCAAAAGCTTGACCCATCTCAGATCATAGGCTTGTTTGATGTTGTGAATGAATGTTTTTTTTCATAGGGATTTTAGATGATTTTAGGACTTGTGAATAGCTTGTGAGCAAGGACTTGCTGGCCGCGGATCATGATGCAGCCAATTACCATGACAGTTGATACTCTATATATATAATACTATACATATATAATTATATAGAAATAAATATATGTACACATGTACACATGTTTTTTTGTTTTTCAGATAATCGTTAAATCATTGTGTTGACACGAGTTCTTGGTCCCTCTTCGATCCTGATCTTTCGGCGAGGACCCAGGGGAGCCATGCTGCAAGGTAACGAAGGTGGGTTACCCCAGAGGGTTGATGAATATAGAGCTTTCATGAGGTTTTAATCATGGGAATATGATGTGTTACCATGGGAATGTGATATGGGACTATCAATCTATAGATATCCGGATTCTATAGATATCCTGGTTGGTGGTTTGGAACCATGGAATTTTATGACTTTCCAGAAACAGTTGGGGAATGGAAAAATCATCCCAACTGACGAACTCACTCCATCATTTTTCAGAGGAGTAGGTCAACCACCAACCAGATTATTATTAATTAACCATCATTAACCATTAATAATAACCATCATCATTAACCATATACCTACCATAATAACCATAATAACCAGATATCCCAGTTTTTAGGTCAACCACCAACCAGCTATAGATATCGGAGGGGGTTAGCAGGTTAACATGTTTCAGTAGCGATCCAGTGTTACCTATGACTTTCCGAACACCTGGGCAGATGGCCCATATCTACATGGGCAGAGATACCCTCCGGTGAACATAGAAAAAACGATGGAAAGATCCACCATTTTTAACGGGTAGATCCACTATTTCTATGGCAATTTTCAAGTTCGTAAACTGTTAGTTTACCAGAGATAAACACATTATTTAAAACCAAGGCCTGTCAAAACAAGCAGCGAGGACAACCTAATGACCCCTCCACTGAGCACTGACGCTGGCTAATCCACTTCAGCAGCCAGTCAGTCCACACTTAATTTTAATGGCTACTTTGAACGTCCAAAAGAGCATTGTTTTTGTTTGTTCTACGTGTGAGGCGAGCAAATTTGCGTGTGAATCCGCGTGAATGAGGGTGAAAAGGACCTTCCATAGCGTGAAAGCACCGTGAGTTAGGGGACATTTTGAGATGTCGGAAAGTCTCCGCTAGCCGCTAGCCGCTTTTTTGAAGGCACTATGAAGCGTCTTTTGCTGCTTTTGAAGTGCCATCCGCCTTTGAATCTTGAAAGCTGAGCTTTTTTATGCGACTGCTCCGACCCAAGTGGCAGAAACATGGTAATTAGGTAGGTGCATGTTGAAAGGTCAAGGTAAGAACAAGTTTTGACACACACGCACACACATATATATATTATATAATATATATATATATATATAATTAATATATATATAATTAATATATATATATATATAATTAATATATATATATATATAATTAATATATATATATAATTAATATATATATATACATACATATTATTGTTATACTTGTGTATATATATATTCTAGTATAATGAAAATCTAGATATGTATATATATATATATATATATTTATTTATAGCGTTTATAAGGGCCTTTGCCCAAAGGACCTTTTGACCCTATAAGGTCCTTTAGTGAAAGGACCTCGCTTTGGAGGCCCTTCGAAAGCTCCAAAGAGAGCTGGATGTTAATCTTTTTCAGTCCATGGGTTTCCCGAAAATGATCCCAACATGGTAGCTTTTCCGTATATCTACCGGAAGGTACCCTCTGGCTATTTAACATAGCTATGGAAAATGGTCCATTTATAGATGATTTTTCCAGCTAGAAACCTCCATTTATAATGGATTTTCCATGGCTATGTTAAATAACCAGAGGGTAAGAGATGGTAAGAGAGGGTTGCTCCAACCCATACTTCAATGATAGCCTATCTCTCTACCCAGCTATTTTTCCCACCCAAACGCATCTGGGGTGGCTAACCAAGGATGTGAATTGCGAGGGCGACCAGGTGCGATTGCTGATGATTTTCCGGCTTGAAACCACTACTGTAGGCAGTGAGGGTATCGCAACGGAAATCGCGATGAAACTCCTCATCTGTGATGTTTTTAGTTCTACAAACAATCACCATACGAAAACGGTTAAAATGGATGAAAAAGGCGCCGGTTCACGGTTCGAAAAATTGTTGTTTCCACCCTGGCCATAAAAATTAAATTGGAATAACAGCCATGTTTTTTTTGGGTGGCTGATGAATTCTATGAAATCTCGAGGCCTTTTGAACGATTGCAGACACATTCAAGATTTCACCAACATCCAGACTGGTTGAATGATTTCATCATTTGGTTTTTGGAATACGGAACAATAAGATGGGCAAAAACGCAAATCATATGCAAAACCCTTACCGTTGTCGGGAGTCACCAACGTTCAATGCGCTGTCACATCTTTTGCATTGGTTAAGGTTGAAATGCTAGGAGCGGCGCGGCGCCAGGGGTATGGCTGGACAGTCTGGGGGTTCTGTTGGAGCTGTATAGAATTTCAATGAACAAACGCTATGGCTTATTACAGCCCCTAAATTTCACATGGAAACCATATATATATATATGTAATTACATATTTATGGCAATGTTATGGCTACATCACAGGAAAATCCATGGGAAATTGGGAAATTCATCTTCCGGACCATTAATTCCGGGCTTCGATGTCACACATGGACGGTCCTTTCGCCTGTAGCAACTCCTGATAGAAACTGACCTCACGTCGTGACCGAAGCCTGGAATCATAGTTAGTTAGAAGGGGATTGTCCCAATATGGCCGAACTGTTGCAGTGAATTATGGAATAATTTACCCAGATTAATGGATATAAATTATATTATATAAATTATGGTTGATAAATGATGATACATTTTATACATTGATATATAACTATTATCATCATGGTTAATTAATGATTAATGTTGGTTACCTACTCTCCTGTCTCATCAAACATGGCTAGCTGGGAAATCCGCATATAATCCCAAGCAATATATAGAGTCTGAAAATATTCCATTTTTCATGGAAACAAAATTTCCAACCCCTATCTGCCAGGGTCGAACTCTTAATTTACTGGAGGGTGAAAAAAGATGACTTCCGGCTGCATCATCTCCGCAACATTTTCACCGCAGGAGCCACCAGTTCGGGGTGGCCTGAACCAAACCTGCGAGCAGGAGGCTTTTGGGAGTGGCTCAAAACCCAAGTTTGTCTTAAAACTAAGATACCATAGATGATCATCATTGGGATACTCCCATAGATTATCATCATAGATCATCATGGCCTCATAGGATATCATATAATCATGAAAATCGGGTACCCCCCAACAGAAATTGCCAAATCGATTATCATCATAGGATATCATCATAGATTATCATCATGTTCCCGATGAAAATTGCCTTATCCTGGCCATTGACAAAGCCGGCCTCCTGACTGGCCTTCTCCAGCAGAAGGTGATGGCGAAGGGGCGCTTTTCCGTCGGACATCTCAGCATTTTTCATGGGTGAAATCGAGATCTACAAATCGCAAAATCGGTTTGTTCGTCCTAAAGCTGGTTGGTGGTGACTGGAACATTTGGAATATCCAATGATATAATGTAATTGGATGTCTATTATATATCAAGAATCCAATCATATATTGGTAATCCATATATGTAAGATGAATTTTATGACTTTCCATTCAGTTGGGGAATGTCATCATCCCAGCTGACGAACTCCATCATTTTTCAGAGGGGTAGGGCTCAACCACCAACCAGATGTTAGTTCTAAACTCTAAACCAACCTAGCATACCATAGCTTACCATAGCTGGTATCTTGTGGTCTCTCTAAGGGTGATCAGGAATTCACTGGAAAGGATATAGCTTGGTGTTGCTTGGTGAATCATTTCTTTTTTTTTGACTGGAATGCATTCCAAGATTTACCCATTTTTACCTCTGTTTGCCCCATTTCTTCCCGATTCTATTTGAATTTATTTATCCACATATGTATATATGAGTAAATATGAGTATATATTATGATTATAATATATATATATATATATTATAATATTATGTTTTTTAATATAATATTATTATTTGATAATATATATATATGATTAATTATTGTTTTGTTTGTTTTTATATGATTATACATGATTGTATATTATTGTATATGATTGTATATAATTAAATATGATTGTATATGATTGTATATGATTATATAATTACCTAAAGATTCAAACTCTCAAAAAAAACTAGGAGTTTATGAAAATTGGATGTTTACATGTCGTTTTAGGTGTTTTGGTCGTTTTGCCCAAAAATTGGTCGTTTTTTTTGGGTTGACATTCCAAGCTAAGCCCACCATGATCTGTGTCATCCCCTTGCTGCACTAGCAACACCAACATCTTTCGCGCACATTGATGTGCACATCCTGGAAGAGTTGTTCTTTTCCCTCATCACCGACGTCCGGCTGCCAAGTCATTCATGTTCCATGATCGGAGGACCCTGAACTGAACCCTATACCTACCCAGGGCTCTTTGGGTGGTACGCAAAGCCTGTGAAATTCCCAATCCATAGCAAGATCGGGATATGGAAGAAACTCTTCCAATAAAATCCTCATCATTCCAGCAACTGGCATTCAAACAATTCAATGCCCACTCAGGACCGGCGTTCTGCCGGGTAAGCTCTAAGAACATGTGCATTTTTGGGCGAATTTTGTACATACGGTAACCTGCACTTGCCCGTCTGGAGGCAAGTTGTCCGAAGCCTTCACAAAATTTGCGGGCTAACCCCTGAAGCTCTGATTGCTGCTCAGCTGTTATCCACAATCCCGATGCATGCAGTGTCCGGAAGAACTTGTTGATTTGTCTCAGGGAGTAAAGAGCGATGCCAAGTTCAACATCTGCATTCAGGTCCTGGGGTAACGCTTGTAGAATCTAACCCTAACAAACCCATGTAGCATTACATGTTAAGCTTTGTTATTGTTCCCCAACTTTGAACTATATATTATATGGACCCCCATATCCAAACCAAGTGGTAAGGAAATGTTTTGGCTTGCCTTGTGGGTAAAGCAATCTTCAAGCCAGATGCAGCAGACTGCTGTGTCGAAGCCTTTGCCAGCAATGGATAGGGGAAAGGACTTGTTCGTAGTCATGTCAAACTTGAGTTTGGACCAGACATCGCAGCTAGTGACCCTGCGCTCACGCACGCAATACTCTTGGAACTCCTTGTGAGCTCTTTCCAGCTTGGCATCCAAGCTCCCTTGGCCCCAAAGACCTTTGAAGCAGCCCAAAACTATGCATGATGCACACCAATCCACACCAATCCCTTTGATGTGGAAGCTGTGCGCACTGTCGACCAAAATGCTAGAGGGCTCACAGGAAGGTAGCCGACGAAATGGTGAACGCACCCCAGGTTTAAAAGGGTCAGGGCCAGGAAAGCTTCTTCGACTTTCCGCTTCGACGCTGGGATTCCACCACTCCTGCCAAACTGACTGGCAATTTTGAGCATCACTATCTACTATATCCCTTTTGTTTGTATCTCAATTTGCCATACCACTTTTCACTTATAATATAGATAAAAAATAAATCAATATACATATGTATATATACAAATATAAACAAATATAAATAAATATAGATAAATATAAATATATATATATACACATGTATGGTATGTATGTATGTATGTATGTTTGTATGTTTGTATGGCATGTATGTATGTACGTATGTATGCTTGTCTGTATACATGCATGTATGTTATGTCTGTTATGTATGATATGTATGTTAGGTATGTACGTATGTATGTATGTATGTTTGTATGATATGTATGTTTGTTTGTATGTATGTATGTATGTACGTATGTATGTTTGTCTGTATACATGCATGTATGTGTGTATGTGTGTGTATGTGTATGTTTGTGTATGTGTGTGCGTATGTGTGTGTATGTTTGAATGTATGTATCGATGTATGTATGTATGTTTGCTTGTATTTTATGTATGTTTGTATGTTTGTATGATATGTATCTTTGTATGTTTGTATGATAAGTATGTATGTATGTATGTATGTCTGTATGCATGCATGCATGCATGTATGTATATATGTATGTATGTATGTATGTATGTGTCTGTATGTGTGTGTGTATTTGTGTGTATGTATGTGTGTGTATGTGTGTGTATGTGTGTGTGTATGTATGTATGTATGTATGTCTGTATGTATGTATGTATGTACATACTTATGTATGTATTTATATTTATCTTAGACAAATTGAAAGTATGGGACCTTGAAACTCTACCCCAACCCCACTGGATGGAACCGAGTCCTCGGAACTGCAGAGGTGACACTTCCTCTTGCTCGTGAAGCCAGTCTCAAGGTACCATGCCTCAGTTTGCAGACTTGGAGACACATGGGCTGCAGGTGGCTGATTGTCGTCTAATTTGGTGCCATCTATGAAACCTTATTTGGATGCCATGAATAGAAGATTACCTTCTTGATCAAGAAAGGGAATGGTCTGTTGGCAGAAACATGTTGTTGATGGCGCTTGGTCGGAAATGAACAATCAGGAACAAGAAATACAATTTTCATACACACCTTAAGGGTTGCAAACATTCAATTCTAAATGCCTACATATATAGTATACGTACATAATTAAAACATATCTTGAAAAAAGTATTTATATATACATATCCTACGTACACACATACAAACTTGCGAATTTTCCTCCTTCCAAACAACCAAACCAAGAAACAAAGAAACATAGAAACAAAGAAACAAAGACACAAAGACACAAAGAAACAAAGACATAAAGAAACAAAGACACAAAGAAACAAACAAACACACACACAAACACACACACACACATACATATATATATATATATAAATATATTTACATATATTAAAAAATCTATATCTCTCTCTCTTAATACAAACAGACATCAATACCGACCTACCTACCTACCTGCCTGCTTTCCTGCCTGCCTGCCTGCCTGCCTGCTTGCCTACCTACTTGCCTACATACGTATCTATATAGCCTGCTTTGCCTGCCAATCTACCTGCCTGCCCTCCTTCCTGCCTGCTTGCCGGCCTACCTTCATTCCTACACATAAATACAAATACAAACATACATGCATACATACATATATATATATATATGTAAATAAATATCTATAAGCATACAAATAACGAAACTAACGCACACATACATACATACATACATACATACAAAGATAGATAGATAGATAGATAGAAAGATAAACAACTAGATAGATAGATACATACATACGTATACACACGTGCATACATACGTACATACGTAATTACATTCACACATACACACAAAGAAAGAAAGAAATATAGATAGATAGATAGATACATAGATAGATAGATAGATACATAGATACATACATACAAACATACATAGAAACTTACATGCATGAGTACATAGATCTTTGCTGCAAACATACCTGCATGCAAACATCCATACGTACATGCACACATTAATTGAGATGCAAAGACACATAGAAGAAAAATACGAGATACACGAACACATGGATACATACAAACATCGATACACACATGCCAGCATACAAACATACAAAAATACAAGCAAACAAGCACAGAAGCACATACATACATACAAACATACATACAAACATACATACATACATACATACATACACACATACATACACACATACACACATACACACATACACACATACATACATACATACATACATACATACATACATACATACATACATACATACACACATGCATACACACATACAGACATACATACATACATACATACACACAGACAGACAGACATACAGACATACAGACATACACACATACTCACATACACACACATACATACACATACATACACACGCATACATACATACATGCATACATACATACATGCATACATGCATGCATACATGCGTACATGCGTACATGCATTCACACACGCATACAAACATACAATCAAACATACAATCAAACAAACATACATAGATTTATTTTCGCATACCTTTATGCATTTATACATGCATACATACCCTTGTATTCACACCACACATACGTACCTACCTTCATCCAAAGCTTGTGCAGGTCTATTGTTATATGTTATATATATATATACATATATATATTTCATATTTTTTGGATTTCAAAAATTATACGCACACGTGCGTGCATACATACACGCAAACATGTAAACACTAACTTTCAGACAACATTACTCAACAGCATTTGCCAAGCTGCAGATCGAAGATATTTCCAGTCCCCCTTGCATCCCAACCAGATGAGATACACCGTAGACGAAGCATCCTGAGGATTGACCTGGCGAAGCAGAGCCATGAAAGAGAAGGATGCCTTAGTTATTCGGCATGAACACGCAGCAAATGCCACATTGCCACATCAACTAAAACCTTTTTGACAAAAGCATCCATGACCCCCAGATGCAAAAAGAACATTGCATGAAACAAGGGCTATCCAACAAACTGAATAATGAGATATAGTTATATATATATATTTAGATAGATAGAAAGAAAAATATATATAGATAAACAGTTATAAATACATATTTGTATGTTTGCACACATCTAAATATATGTTAAAGTATTTGTATATACATGTATATATATATATGTGCTAGTCACTGAAAATAAACATGTATATGTTCCCAACATCCCTGCCGCCTGATACCCGTGATGAAAAAGGTCCAACATCTCTTCAGTCCAGGCAGTGTTGAGCTCGTGCAAAGTCTTGTCTCCGCTGAAAGCCGAGGCTGACATGCAGCAGAACAAAAATCGGCTGCAGAATGAGTTCCTGAGCGGCTGGGCAATCGTTGATTGGATTTTATCAAGGGGTACCTGGCCAGCTAATCAACAAATATTATTCGGCAAAGGGTGGAAAAGAAAGCTTTTTTTGAATCAACAGCATGGCTCCCAGAAACAGCTGTGAACGCAGTTCCTTTGTAACTCACGACTGGCTGCCATGATTGAACCATGAAAGGCACTCGTCGGTGAGTAACGCCTTCATCCCCATGGGTCACGAAGGGGATGCAGCGACGCAGCGGTTTGCCCGAAGAAAACAAACAATGATTTGGCCGTATGGTTCTGTACCGGGACCAAAATGTTTCAAAGGTTGATTCCCAAGCAGCCCTGTTCTCATAACCTGCGCCACCAAGAAGAAGGCAGGGGTGGTTCTTGAAAACAAATTGGCACCAGGACTTCATGCTAACAACGGGCCAATGGACTCGGATATCATGGGGCCGGGGCCGTTTTTTTCGACAGGTCACCTTCACATAGCTGATCTCAATATCTAGGGCAGACCCGCTATTGTAGATCAAAGTGGTCAAATTTCTGGATGCATTTCGTCCCTGGCTATTCCAGCAAGAGGCCATCTTCGCTAGCAAATCATCAGAGCGTCCTGACATCTCAGATGGGGTAGGCCCCCAACATTTTTGGGCCCTTACCGACTTATGGAATTTATATAAACTGGACAATGGGTGAAATTCGTTTTTCACAAAAGGCCGGTGACGGCCAAGATGGAATCAAACAAGGTTCTTGAAGATACCCAAACATCCTGTGCAATGGGCCAAGGAGCGGCTTTTTCGAACTCGGCAAATTCTCTGGGCAGATTTGGCAGTGGCTTTCGCTGTTTGAGCCTCAACTGTGGGGTGGTGTGTGGCTGATTACCCCATCTCGTGGAAGTCAAACAAGCTGGAAGTAACACCACCAAGTAACTCCACTGAAGTATTCTGCCAGGAGATCATCCGCTAGCTCATCACATTCATGATCATCGGCGTTGTCATCACCCATCCCTTCATCACCTGGCAGGTGTTACTGTCATAAGGTTAGAAGTTACGGGGCTTTGGATATGGTGGGCGTGGTCCCCGAGAACAGCAGTCAGCACCAGTTATATGATTCCTACATATCTCTGCCTTGCTATGGTTTTCGGATGTTTTCGGGTTTGAAAGGCTATCTTTTTGCAGCCCAAGGCACCTGCGAACAGTTCTGAACAACTTGTAGGCATGAAAAATCCTGGCAACATCAGGCCATGACTTTGCGACTTGATGGTGTCAAAATTCACACAGCTATGCCTACACAAAGCCCCTTTTTGTTTTTCACATGTTCCCACGCGGATTGCGTGAAATGTTCCACGGCAAAAGGCTCAGGTGGCTAGTTGCCAAAATCTCGGAGGGACTAGGCACAACAAATCTAATCTTAACAGGTAATCCAAAATACAAGCTTTTTTATTGCCAATGGTATTTTGAAATATGTTCTTTCCGAGAACAACCTGCACCAAGCAAGGGACACCTACTTCTTAGAACGCTTCTTAGCCTTAGACTTCGAAGCACGCTCTTTTTTGGGCTTCCTCTTCGAGGATCTGGGTGCAGTGGTTGCTTCCTCTTCCTCCTCCTCCTCCTCATCCCCACCGCCGCCCTCACCTTCTGAGGCGTCCTCTTCCTTAGCAACACGCCCGCGTGGCCGCTTCGCGCGGGCCTTCACTTTGGCCTTGGCCTTGGCCGAAGCCTTTGGCTTCTGAGCTTTGCAGTTCCTGGCGGGAAGACATGTTTATGCAGTTTGCAGTCTACAATGAAGCACATGAAAATTCAATCCAAATATGTTTTGAGCATGGCACCGGCAACGCATCATGCTGGAATTGAATGCCATATCTTTCTGGGTTGCAGTGACGAACAGCTTGATCAGGGATTCTTTGTCTTGCCTAAGCCCCGGTGTCAACACCCCGACAAAATTAAATGGAATATGTTGAAAGTTGACATCAGGCCATGCTGGCAAAACAAAGTATATAAGGTTTCGACACACTGGGCACAGATGCCACAAGGTCAGATTGCTTTGCCACCATCGAGGTGTACACCTTCTCCACCTCCCCACGGATAGCTTTCAAATCAGTAGCCAGCCTTGAGGGCAGAGAAAACATTGATTTATCGATCTGGTACAATGATTTGATTTTTACATGCAAATACTGGGGGCAGATAGTGTGCAGTTGGGAAGCCCCTCGGATCGCGTGGTGGCGATCTGGGCCAGCTTTTCCTCAAGAGGCCAAATCATTTTGTTGATGGCTATCTTGATTTTTCTGGTAGCTGAGTTATAGACTAACATCTCGTCTGCCGCGTCTAGCTTCTTCCCCAACACATCGATAAATGCAGGCAATTGGCCTTGGCAAGTGACTAGTCTAGTGAGGGGTGGCAACCAGCTAGTAAAAGAAATAACATATACATGTTTGCAACATAGTAGCCTATGGGGTCATTCTGCTGCACAACCGGTAGAGTAGGAAGCTTCGCTTGGCGCGAAGAAGCCAAAGCCATCTGGCTGCGGTGCACATCCTCTGGAGCCGTCGTCCTCAGACCGTTCACTTTCTCTAGCTCTTTTTCAAAACTCCGGGGGTGAGAGGGCGCAATTAGCACCCCATGAAATGCTTGCAAGGGGCTTTCCCCAACCTGGGCCGTGAGTGATGTTGCTCTCCAACATGCTGGGCACCCCATCCTGCAGCTAAAATCTTACCCCCCTTGAAAAGGTGGACCTGTGTGGATATACAGACCCCAAATCACTAGAACAATGAGCCCTTGTCCTGGACCGTTGTGGAACTTGAAGCTTCATATTTTTCTCCCTTGCGCTCTAAATTGGCAAATTCCTCGTCCAGTGGGAGACGCCATTCGTCAGCGCCATGCACCTCAGAGGTCCTGAAATATCCATGAGTCTTCGCCCAATTTTTGCTAAAGGAGATCATGTCGGTAGTCCATCCTTTGGCCTGCAAGTCTATTTCAGTAACATATTTACCTGACACTTTCACATCTTCTTGTTTCTCATAGGTTTTCTTCACCTGCAGCTCTACCTCCGACCAATCCCCACCAGCAGATCGCAGCATATCCGCAATCTTTGCGCCTAAGCTGGTGAAGAGGGAAAGCCAGCAAGGCAAGGGGTCATGACTTTAACTAGCATGAACGCTTCCTAGGGGCTTCCACCCGGGGACTTGAAGATTTCAAGGACGCCAGGGCTAGCTTTGCGAGATTCGGCATAGCGTTTGATCCTGCAAACCAACTGATACTATACATCTACATGCACTTACATACATTTACATACATTTACATCCATTTGCATACATCTATTTACATTCATTTACATACATTTACATGCATTTACCTACATTTACATTCATTTACATTCATTTACATACATTTTACATACATTTACATACATTCACATACATTTACATGCATTTACATACATTTACCTGCATCTACATACATTCACATACATCTATATACATTCATTCACATACATGTACATGTACATGTACATGTACATGTACATTTACATTTACATACATACATACATGCATACATACATACATACAAACATACATACATACATACATACATACATATATACATACATTTACATACATTTACATGCATTTACAGTCATACATACATTTACATGCATACATACCTACATACATACATACATTACATACATACATACATAAATACATGCATACATACATACATACATAAATACATACATACATACATACATATATACATACATTTACATACATACATACATACATACATACATACACATACATACCCAACATACATAACATACATAACATACATAACATGCGTGCCATACAAACATACATACATACATACATGTCATACATACATACATACATACATACATACATACATACATACATACATACCTACATACATACATATATACATACACACATACACACATACATACATACACACATACACACATACACACATACACACATACATACATACATACATACATACATACATACATACATACATACATACATACATACATACATACATACTTAAGTATTATATATTTATATAGAGGGAGATATACGCATATACATATCTGTCAATCTATCTAATGCATCAGCCAACAAAGATGCACACAAACTCGCAATCAAAGCGGGGTCCTCCAGTAGGATCCGTCCCTGTACACACCCATTGGTTTTGGTGCGGGCTTGGCGATTCGAAGCTCACGTGCTCTTGCGCTCTGGGGTACTGCGGGTGCATCTTGGTTGGGCCCTTCTGGTGTGGCAGGTTTGGCTTCAGGCTGCAAATTTGCTTCAGGAGTAGGGACTTCTGGTGTTTCAACACTAGGGGCGGCCGTCGTACCAACAGCATTGGCCTGTGGTGTTTCAACATCAGGACAAGTTGCCGCAACAGATTCTACAGCAGGTGTGTTTTGTGTTTCAACTGCAGCTTGTTTTGGCGTTTCAACAGGCGGCTCTGCTGCTTCAAGGTTTGGCTCCGCTTGAACTTGTGTCTCTTCTTGTTGCCCGCTCATGTGAACATCTAGCTTGCCTCCACCTAACTCTGGTTCTTTCTCTTTGGTTGACTGATCTCCGGCCTCATAGGCCAGTGTGGGCTGCGTCGCTGAATCACTTTCGGAAAAACTTTGACTTGGGCCCTGAAAGAGACTTTTGGGGAGTGGCGATCCACCTCCTCCCCACCCTTCTCGCCACAACTCCGCGCTCTGAGGTGTCTCTCCAGGGACTGAGCTGTCCCGTCTGGTTGGAGCAGGGGTCTCAGGACTGGAAGCCAGAGTTTGGGGAGTGAGAAAGGGTTTGGCAGTGCCCAAGCTTTGCTGGGGCAGGCCGGACGCAAACATACCAGCTGCTCTTGGTTCATGATATGTACCTCCAAGATGAGCAATCCGTTCACAGCTGTGGGAAAACTATTGAAAAAGAGATGGCCTTTATCATAGCACACGAACGAGCCCAAATCAAAACCTTTCCGCCTGCTGACAAACCTGGCGCCACACCACCCGGTGCAAGCTCAGCATGGAGTCTTGCAATCTGAGCTTCCGCAGCCTCAGAAAGCAAAGCGAGAGGATCTATGAAAACGTGTGAGACTTTTGGGCTTCCAGGGGACCTACATGGTAATTGGAGCAAGTGACTCTTATTTGTTCATCAATGTCGTCCGGGGCGGCCATGGGCTGTTGAGATTCTACAAGACCAAGACCTAGCTGAATTGTCCCAGAAGGACGGATTTGATCCGACATGGTCCCTTCCGTACAAAATTTGTTACAGAGCATGTAAACCATATTTCTGGGATCCCAATGGTTCTGACATGTTCAGCCCTCAAGTAAACAAGAAAACATGTTTTAACCCCAAGTCTGGCACACTTTCAAGCTCACACTGTAGAAAGAAGCTCAAATGTGCTGAATTTGGCTATTTTGCAAAACTCCTCATTTTACCCAATTTTATCACTTTTCAGGATTTGCGGGTTTTTGCGGGTGTTTTGCGGGTTTTTGCGGGTGTTTTGCGGGTAATTTTGGGTGCGCCAAAATCAGCAAATGAGCGATTTAGTGGCATTTTGCCACAAAATGGATTTAGGCTTGGAAAAGCACTTCGCAAGCTTCCCCGCTCAGGCCAACCAGTTCCTCCTCCGTAGTGGGAGGCTTGACCTGGGATCTCACTGCTACAGCTGACCCCTGGCAACAATATCGGGGTAAAATACCTATTTTGCTTGGGCTTGCTGGTTCCAAAAATGTATAGATAATAAAATTGAAAACAAGACACTGAAAGCAGTTCCTCCTCAAATGCTTCGATGGTCGATTCTCAAGTTGATGGTATCTTAAGGCTGGGAAGTTTCCTCAAGTACCAGTACAAATCTGGTAGCCCCGCGTCCCACCAGGGATCGCCAATCTTCAAGGAATCAAAGATCTCACGGTCGGTGAGGGTTGGGTCAACATTCCGTTTGTTCCGTAAATCCCCGGATGGCAGTTGTTGAGCTATCAGCGATGCCAAAGCAACTCCAAAGTCTTTTGGGTAATGCCTTGGAGTCAACAGACAGCTTTTTGCTCCACTCCAATGTGATTGGATCAAGAGCCAATTTGTTTGAGGGTTCGGCGCAGTGGCTTTCAAAGAGGGCGTGCCTTGAAACCCCCGTTTCCCTGTAGTGCTGATGGTCTTGCCTCGGCAAAGGCGGCGGGCAAACTTTCCCAGAGCTGAGGCTGGAAACCCTAGTCACTGGCGACCTGTCTGGAAACAGGAGATTGTTTTTATGTGCATATATATATATATATATATCTCTCTCTCTCTCTCTCTCTCTCCCTCTGTCTATATATCTATCTTTCTATCTATCCATCTATATATATATATATATATATATTGGGCTAGGGGACGGTAGAAAAATAAACGGAGATGATATATGGGTACGAGTCAAAATAGACACTATATATATATATATATATATATATATGGGGTTCCCCGGGTTTTGATTTGTGACACTCATACCATACTTTAGGAAGTAGCCAGCCGCTGAGCTGGGCAATGGGAAGTGACACTCGTTGAGCTTGCCCAAGTTACGCGTTGTTTGAACCTTTGTTTGCTTCTCACGGGTTGCGGCAGGCAACACACCTTTATCCTCAGCTGTACGTATCGAAATACCATGGTGCTAGGATTTGGGATCGGATTCGGTGGGACACAGGGAAAGCAACTCAGGGTGACACCAAGGCATGGACAAGTGAACGGCAATTGCTCCAGACCACCGTCCTTTTGGCACTGTCAGCCCCGTAATGCATCATCCAGAACGAGTTTCTCCATACCTTGGGGGGTTGCCAGGTAACTGAGCCTCAACCTCTGTCCACCTTGCAGGTACACAGATACATATATATATATACACATTCATATATATATATGTATATTTATCTATTTATTGATATTTATGTATTTATTTGTAAAACATACTTATATGTATTTAAATAAATATGTGTATATATATATATTCAACAAATATTTAAATAAATAAATATATATATATAAATAAATGAATATATATATATATATACATATAACATTAAACATATATAGGTTGATATATTTAAATTTATTTGTATATATATATTTATTCATTGAAATTTAGTTTATATATATATATATTCATGTATTCACTATTGTCTATCCTTTATTTTTTGATTTATCTACTTACTTCTTATATATATTTTTATTTATCTATTCGTTTTGAATTTGTATGTATTGTATACATGTGTAACTAAAAATACATACATGTATATATATATATATATGTACTACATATTAATATATATATATATATATATTATTTTTCTATAAGTAAGATATACGTACACATTATTATAAATATATAGATAATATTTGATTTGATTTCACAGTATATGTCAGCCCGGCTGCCCACGAGATGCAATTGCAGAACCAATCAAGTCTGGGGTGGCGCATGAGAACGTCCTTCGATCCTTCCGGCTGTTCCAGAAGCCAAAATATATTGAGCGAAGTGGATAGGAGCAGAAGCAAGCATAGCCTAAGTGAGCAGAGCACAACTGGAAGAACAAGATGTGGGCACAAAGAAATTCTTTCGGACACCTGGATTGTTCCATATATTTCCTGGTTCGCAAATCTTTACGTGCATGCAGCTAGAAAACCGTGAAATCATACAATTAGCTCGACGGACCCACTCCTTTCCCAAGTCGCCAACAGCGCACAGCTGATCACGCAGGCTGGAGCCTCGTGAAATCCTTGTCCATGAAGAACAGTCAGGTGCGCAAACGTGCAACCCAAGTGGAAGGGTGCGAAGCGCAAGAGATAAAGCCACCCTGCAAGTCAACTCGGACCGCTCAGGTCAGGTCTACATGGAAGGGATTCCAAAAGTCATATTTGTATATGTTTTCTTTTGGGTAAAAGAGAGCAAGAGCTCAGCTAAGTATCGAAAACCCTCCTGGCTCCAGGAAATCCATGGGTTTACCACAATATGTGATGTCATAGCTGGCAACAGACTGCCCCTGCTCTCTGAATGCAGCCGAAACTTGGCCGTGACCGCTGAAGTACTCCACCACGTTGTGCTGAGGTTCCATGCTAATGCCACTCCATGCAAGTAGCAATACCTAGGGGCTCGACAAAACATACATATATATATATATATCATATAGTATTGTCCAAGCTAATATTTTTTGTTGCGTCAGCCGATTCATGCCGAGTGGCGCAGGCAATAAAAACCTGCCGACATGGAAGCATGATGAAAGCTGACCATTTTCCGGTTGGCTTGCCACTCCCAAGGCGCCCCCAAAAAGGAAAAATGCCAAAAAGGAACCCCGGGAAAAGGGAGGGGGTGTTCCTTTTTGAATTTTAGATTTTTTTTTAACAACAGGAAAATTAAAACTACAAGCCCTGACTGGGATATAGCCCAATTCTACTGGCCTTCGGGGCTTGGCACTGGAAGAGGCCCATAACAACGGATTGATTCCGCTTCGGCATGGTGAATCTCTAGGGATCGCTTGTCCCAACCACTGAAGGAGCCAAGAATTGCTGGTGGATGTTCGGATGACCCAAGTCAGCTGCGGCAACCAAAAGAAAGCATGAAAGGCGCAAAAACTTAGCCAGGCAGACTTTCAGGAGCAGCTCTGACAGCCCATCGTTCCTGTCGAGTTTTCCTGCGACGGGGCAAGCATAAGAAATTCACTCCCTATACCGAAAGCTCACGGACAGAAGCAGCACCACACACGAAAACTAGATCTTATGTCATTTTCACCCCCAAGCACTGCAGGTTTGCCAAAAGCTAGGCTGCTGTGCGCTAGCAATTGTTGCCCGCAGCGAGCCCCTAAGTATGGACTGTGGTGTCGCTGAACACCTGCAAATTGGAAATTGCAAAAACGTATAGCTCAGTGTGAAAGCTGTCTGAAAGCACTCGGCCATTTCATGCCGTCACGGCAGCATATGCCTTAGCCCCCAACACACGTCTCATATATACAGCATGTTCTAGAAACAGTATACAGCATGTTCTAGAAACAGGCAAACACACCAACATACACATCATGTCAAAACATGTCAAAATTGAACTGAAGCCAAAAGATCCCGGTAACTGAAAAATAACAATGCGAAAAAAAAACAGGAGAGGGTGGTGGTATTTTTTTGCAGTCATATGGGGGCCCTTGAAGAAAGAGGAATACTGCAAAAGAGGTGCCAGCGAAGCCTGCTTTTTTGCATCCTCCTCTGGAACACCCTGCTTACGCAAAGCATAGAGCACCTTCGAGTACGCACTGCATTTTTTGCTACGCAAAGCTTCGCGTGGGTCCTGGTCTACCTTTCTAAGTCTCTTCTTCGAAACCTGTTCCTGGCCTTCATCCTCCTTCTTTGCCTTACCCTTCTTGCCTGGATTGCTTGTGGCCTCTGCTGGCGCACCCTCCTCCCTCCCATCTTCCTTCTTTGCCTTACGCTTTTTGCCTGCATTGCTTGTGTCCCCTGCTGGCACACCCTCCTCGTTCCCATCCTTCTTCTTTGCCTTACGCTCCTTGCCTGCATTGCTTGTGGCCTCTGGTGGCACACCCACCCCATTCCCATCCTCCTTCTTTGCCTTACGCTTTTTGCCTGCATTGCTTGTGGCCTCTGGTGGCACACCCACCCCATTCCCATCCTCCTTCTTTGCCTTACGCTTTTTGCCTGCATTGCTTGTGGCCTCTGGTGGCACACCCTCCTCATTCCCCTCCTCCTTATTTGCCTTACGCTTTTTGCCTGCATCGCTTGTGGTCTCTGCTGGTACATCCTCCTCATTCCCCTCCGCCTTCTTTGCCTTACGCTTCTTGCCTGCATTGCTTGTGTCCCCTGCTGGCGCGTTGGGGGTGGCAGTAGGAGTGGTTGCCTTTCCATCAGCATGCTCACCTCGGTGTTTTTTGGTGCTACCTTTGGCTTTCCCTGCCGCCTTTGCTTTGGCCTTTGCCTTGGCCTTGGATTTTGCTGTCGGTTTTATCTCAGGTTCGGGTTCGGCACCCGCTTGGACAGATGGGGAAATGTATGGGGCCTCCCCCCAACCTGGTGGGAGCACGTGAGAGTTTTCAACTTTGCCCTCATGGCTGGTTTGATTTGGTGGCGTCTTGGCTGGCGACTTGTCTGGCTGGGAGGTCTGTGGGTCCAACTCCAACGTTGCAGGTGCGGGTGGTTCGCTTGAGGGACTGGAGCCGCATGGCTCAGAAGCATGACCAGGCTGCAAGAGATTCTCCAGTTGTTCATTCTTTGCTTCTGTGTTCACATGACTAGTCTCCAAAGACTTTGTCTTGTCTTTGTTCACCTCAACCTCCGTACTTTGCTTTGGATGACCTTGGGCTTCCCCATTGCTCACCTCAACTTCGTTTTTTCCCTGTGGGTCCAAAAACTGGACTTCCCCGTTGCTCACTTCAACCTCGACTTCAACTTTTCCACTCTCTGTCGCAGACTGTGGCAGTGCTGACACCATGTCCTCAGCATTTTCACTGGGGACGAAAGGGCCAGGCAAAGCGACATCCTCCACCATGGGCAAAGTGTCGACAGTATCCATACCTGGCACATGCGCAAACATTGTGGGGCGATGTTTGGGTGGCAGTCTGATTAATTACCAAAAACGCAACCATTTTTTGAAACGTGTTTTGCATATATATATATATATATTTATTTATATATATATATATGTATGTATATACATATATATATATAGTGTGTGTGTGTGCGTTTGTATGTATAGGAATCAGGAAACGGTTAAATCGAGTGGCAACTACCCTGACGGGATTGAAGAGGTGGAACTTGTTCAGGAAGTCTTTTCCTTTGCTCATGTAAGACAAGCAGGTTCCCTTGCAAATCTTTGAGCTTCTTGAGTTTCAGGAGGCGCTCAAGTTGGGCCGCTTGTGCACGAAGCGCCTTCCGAAGTATACCAAATTAGATCGGGAAGAAACCATTTCCCAGGCAACGGTTTTTTCAAGCAACACCCAAGGAATGTGAACACCAAAATCTCCACATATAAAACTATCCGTTAAGGAATATAAGAGATGCCTTGCCTGGAGTTTGTCAGTCTTTGGTGGGGTCTGCAATGACCCAAAACCTACCCGGAGAGCAAGCCATGGTAAAAGTCAACGTAGAAAAAAATCAACAAATTGCAAGCTGTTGAGGCCACTACCATCCGCAAGCACAGCAACCTGTCACAAAGCCAAAGTTAGGCTACAGCTGCTACTGACTACCTGTGTTGTCCCATGGTTCATCGAGGAAAAACCTGCCTTTTGAGGTTTCGGGGGTGGCGTTGGCAGATCTGATGCTGATGGTGAGGAACGTAGCTCCTGGCTGACCACATGTGGAAGTATCTCTATCTATCTATCTATCTATCTATCTATTTATTTATTTATCTATCTCTCTATCTATCTATCTATCTATCTATCTATCTATCTATCTATCTATCCATCTATCTATCTGTCTATCCATCCATCTATCAATCTATCTATCTGTCTATCTATCTGTCTGTCTAACTATCTATCTATCTATCTATCTATCTATCTATCTATCTATCTATCTCTATCTCTTTTTCTCTTTCTATTTCTATCTCTATCTATCTCTATCTATTTACACATATGTATCTTTCTATGTATGCCTATATATCTCTATCTCTATCTCTATCTCTATCTCTATCTCTATCTCTATCTCTATCTCTATCTCTATCTCTATCTCTATCTCTATCTCTATCTCTATCTATCTTTTTATCTATTTAACTTTCTTTCTATCTATCGACCTATCTTTCTATCTATCTTTTTTATCTATCTATCTCTGCATATCTCTTTCTATCTCTATCTATTTCTATCTTTCTATCTCTTTAAATCTATGTATCTATCTCTTTAAATCTATGTATCTATCTATCTGTCTATCTATCTATCTATCTGTCTATCTTACTATCTCTATCTTTCTATCTATCTTTACTTCTATCTTTCTTTCTTTCTTTCTTTATATATCTTTCTCTCCCTCTCTCTCTCTCTGCCTGTATCTTTCTACCTGTCTATCTGTCTCAATCTCTATCTCTATCGTTATATCTATATCTGTCCATCGATCTATCTATGTACCTATCTATCTATCTATCTATCTATGTATGTATCTATCTATGTATATCTATTAATTAAAGGTATCTTAGGCTACACTGCATCCAGGCTTGCTCCTGCGAGCTGGGCTCCAAGCGGAAATCTGCAGTGGCCTCAGCCGAGTATAGTGTTCGGCAAGGTGAAAGTGAGTCTTGCGGGTCATCTAATGAGGGGCGAACTGGCAAGGCGTCAATAACGACTCCAGAATCAGCGCCCTTCCCAAATTCCCACAACACAAAAAAAGATGCTGCAACTTCAGTTTTGTAAATCTTTGTTCAAAGTTGAATGAATCTTAGCAAGAAGGCCTTCACAGTGGGAGTTTCCCGATCAAGATCAAGGTCTTTGGGTGCATCTACCTGTGTGACAGGGACATCCCGTTTTTGGTCGCCAATCTTTGCATGATGAACTACAAATTTCCACGTGAACTAGGTATGAAGAGACCCCCACAAAGTTTTCACGCATGGCCTGCGGAGCCTTCTCATCACCGGCGATGCCCTGTTGACTTTCTCGAGTCTCACCTGGGCAACCAAGATGGATTTACTCCGTTAAAAAAAATGTTCAATGCCTGGCCCATATGTGTGCTAACGTTTCTTTAAGTGATATCACTATTGTTCATCAAGTCCTTGTGGATATTATGAAGGAGTCTTGACGAGTAGCATGGCTCCACTACTTCGTCCTCTGTTTCGGACTCGCTTTCAGCTGACTCATCACACTCATCATCATCATCTTCTTCTACAGGTGCTGCTGTCTTGTCTGGCAATTTCAACCCTAGGTCTCGGATCAGGGCCCTGATTTCCAATTCTCTGGGCTGATGGGGTTTTCGAAGTATCCCATTGAAGATGCTCATGCACCTCCTGCCGACCCAGGCCTGGGTGCTGATCGATGTGCCTCAGACCAAGACGGGGGAAGCTGGAAGTGGCCGTTGGTCCCAGGGGAATTTGAGATAGTTACGTACACACCTAAACCTATATACATCTATTTGAACCTGTAAAGGTCAGAATTTGACAAGAGAGAGAGAGAGAGAGATAGAAAGAGAGAAAGAGAGAAAGAGATAAAGATAGAGAGATAGAAAGAAAGAAAGAAAGAAAGAAAAAAAGAAAGAAAGAAAGAAATTAACAAAAAAAGAAAGAAAGAAAGAAAGCAAGAAAGAAAGAGAGAAAGAAAGAAAGAAAGAAAGAAAAAAAGAAAGAAAGAAAGAATGAAAGAAAGAAAGAAAGATAGATAGGTAGGTAGGTAGGTAGAGAGAAAGAGATAGAGATAGAGATAGGGATAGGGATAGAGATAGATAGATAGATAGATAGATGGATAGATAGAAAGATAGAAAGATAGATAGAAAGATAAATAAAAGGATAAACAGAAAGATAGATAAAAAGATAGATAGATGGACAGATAAAAGGATAACAAGATAAATAAATAGACAGATAGACAGATAGGTAGCTATATAAAAAGATAGTAAGATAGGTAGATAAAAAAGAAAACATATAGAACGATAGAACGATAGAAAAGTAGAGATAGAGAAAGAGATAGAGGGAGATAGAGACAGAAATAGATAGAGATAAAGATAGAGAGACAGAAAGATAGATAGATAGGTAGAGAGATAGATAGATAGATAGGTAGAGATAGAGATAGAGATAGAGGTAGAGATAGAAATAGAGATATATAAAGAAAGACAGAGGTAGATAGAGATAGAGTTAGATGAAGATAGACAGAGGTAGATAGAGATAGAGACAGAAATAGAGATAGAGATATAGACAGAGAAAGATAGATAGATATAGAAAGAGACAGATAGTGATAGATAGAGATAGATAGAGAGAGAGAGAGAAGAGAGAGAGAGAGAGAGATAGATAGATAGATAGAGAAAGAAAGATAGAACGTTAGATAATGATAGAGATAGAGATGGAGATCGAGACAGAGATTTGAGATAGAGATAGAGATAGATAGATCGATAGATCGAGAACCATAGAGATAAGTAAATATGTATAAATATATATATATATATATATATTGCATATACATATTCGATGTTTTCGAAACATATATGTATACATATATATGTGTGTGCGTGTGTCTATGCCAATTCTTGTGATGCTTGTTCTCCAGCTGAAGGGAGAAACACATGTATATGCATACGTATGGATACACGCGTGCATGTGTGCACGCGACCTACCTGCTTTGAGGCTTCCTTTGAGGGTTCAACAATTCATTCTTTCTGGCGGGATAGGTGGAACAATAAGCAAAAGCACCTTAACCATATTTTTTGCGCAAAGATCTACTTCTTTTGTGGCAAAAATTTACCCTGGCCACACAATACCCACTTGAGTCATGCACATCGCCAGAGCTAAAGTATGTAAATGGGGAACCTGCAGGTAAAACCCACCAACTTGCGGGGCGCAAATCTTTTTATTTCCCTTACCCGCTATAATATCAATGGGTGTGATACTACGATTACTTACTCAATGGGTTTCCCTAAAAAATAAATATATACCACTTTTGTTTTGAAACGCGTTTACCCTCTTCTGCTGTGAAGGTCGTAAACTTGTCTGGGATTTCATATAAAGGAAAATCTAAGGGTTTCCTAAAATGGGGATACCCGCAAATCATCCAAAATTAACCCATTTTAGTGTTGAATGGGGCGCCCCGATTTTGGGAAACCTGCATGTTGGACCAAAGTGAAGGGGACCAACCACTCAGTGAGTGAAATATGCTAACAAGGAACTGCTGCATGGCACTTCACAGTATGCATAGAAGCTTTCAATATGCACTTCAAGTGTTGGGACTGCAACTCGGTGCCCCAAGAATTGAAACGCAAGTTTCAAAAACTTGCAGTTGACCCGCACGGTGTCCCTGCAGCATTTTTTGCCAGTGGCCTTCACCTAAGTTATCGAGGGTTCACGGCAAACCCCTAGAAACAAATGACGAAAGCACAGTTCTGTTTCCAACTGACATGCAACCAAAACTCCAGCTGATAAGTTTTGGCTGCATGCCGAAGACTTGGAACTTTTTCCCATGCTTTGGCTAAAGGTGTAGCTTTCCTCTCTCTCTCTTCTTCCTCTCCTTCAACATCCGGGATCACCATCAGAATCCCTCTTAAGCCTAATTTTTAGGCCATCAGCCAAACCCTGTAATCGAGCCAAATGCCCTGATGCACAGAAGGTGGGAGCCGGCCCACAACCAACACACTGCACCCCCCAAGACCGGCAGAGCTGCAAGCGGAGGTCGGCGCACCTTCTTCTCTTCGCCGGGTGTGGTGTGAACACTTTCCAGCCGCTGCATGTTGGGGTGTTGGAGGCTGTGATGCACAGAGACAACTCCGGTCCAAGCACCTTGTGTAAAGATATTTAAAGTAGGTGGTTGATGAATTGGGCTCCCAAGCTCTCATGTTCATGTGAGTTGGTTCCAGGCCAGTCCCCCAAAACGCTGACAGAAAATTTCCGGCCTTCAACCC